TCAGCCACAAAGACATCACGGCAGATATTTTGCCTAATGCAGTAGAACCATGCTAATCTCACTCCTGACTCCTCTTAGATACACCGCACAGAGAACCCCCTCTCATGTAAGGTTTAGAGGTCTTTAGATTGTATTCTCAGGCCAGACACCTAGTGAATCAATCCTCTTTCTGCAGGCTCACTGAGTTCTTGGATTCTCCTGTAGCCCCTTTTACCTTTCTCCATTTTTCTTTCTAGTGTACTGCTCCCCTGCTCCCTCCCCACTGGTATTGAGGATTCAATCCAGAGGCACTTCACTATGGAACTACAACCCCAGCCTTTTTTATCTTTTATTTTGAGACAGCATCTCACTAAGTTGTTGAGACTGGTCTCAAAATTGTGATCCTCCTGCCTCAGCTTCCTTGGTCTCTGGTATTACAGGCATGTACCACTAGGATACTACTTTTTCTATCCAAAAAGCCAACTTTGTTTGCCAAAGGACTAGCCATACCTTGCCTTCTACCCCTGGCTCTGCCTTCCTGAGGTTGTGAGGGGTAGAGAGCAGGGTATGGCTAGTTATGCCCAAGGACTAGCCATACCCTGCTCTCTACCCCTACTTGCTGTTTTTTTTTTTCTCTCCCCATATACTAGGAGAGAGAGAAAAAATAAAAACAACACCAAGTAGCTCTGGTCTTTTCCAACTGATTATCAGTCTTTAGTAGCTGTTATTGGTGGTGGTGGTGGTGTTGTGTAGTGTGTGTGTGTGTGTGTGTGTGTGTGTGACAGAGAGAGAGAGAGAGAACTGGGCTCTGAGTGACTGCACAAATCCCAAGTGACTTCAAGGTAAAATATAACTTACTTACCGTCTTATTGACCTCAGTCACACGGTACAACACAAACTGGTTGCCGCTTTGTATCCTATTGTTATAATTCTTCAGAGCAGCATCCACAGCCTTAAATACATCCTCATCATCACAATCAATTTCCTCAGTGACAAATTCCTGGGATAAACTTGCTAGCAGCCTGGAGCAGAGGAAAAGGATGGTTATTAATTTCATGATTCAACAGTCTCCCTGTAGAATCTGAGAGATGGTTTCCCTTAGAATTGGGAGCCAACTTGGATGCTGATTTTAACAGTCTCCAGTCTCTTGTTTCCTCTGTTCTCTTCTCTCTCTACCTCAACACTTGGGACCTCAACACTTGGGGCCCTACTGCCATACACTATTTGCTCTCTTCCAAAAGGACAAATAGCTCTGCCGGTTATCCAAGCAGATTTCAGCCTGTAACATTACAACACTTGGGTCACTGACCTGACTGTTTGCCTTTGAAAAGCACATAGGAGCACATAGCACATTTTCCAGTGATTGCACAAGTTTGCATAACAAATTAGAGCAGGGTCTAATAAAGGAGGAGAGAAAAGTAGCTCTGTTATTTCCTTGTGACTTTCCCAAAGCCATTTGTGAAGGTCACTGGGTGTGTAAACAAAGCAACAAAATGAGGGCAACCTGCAGACACTTTTCACATAAAATTTCTTTGCAGGATGTTTATCAGCCTAGAAGCAGGCAGCCTAGAAGCAGCCTAGAAGCTGTATGCTTGGGAACCTAAGCACAGGGGTATCAAGTGAGTTCTAGGAATTTTACCCAGGAGATTAGCATGACTGGATATAAACTCTTGGCATCTTATCTGGCCTTTGGCCAAGCCAGCCTCTCTCTGCTCAATTGTATTAGTTCTATAAAGGAAAAGCTTCTTTGGGTAAGAGACAAAGGAAATTTAGAAAGAAAGAAAGAAAGAAAGAAAGAAGGAAGGAAGGAAGGAAGGAAGGAAACTATTCGAAGAAAGAAGGTCTCAGGGTAGGTTAAAGATATGACTTAATACTCAGTAGATGTTTGCCTTCAAGTGAAAAAAAAAAAAGCAGAAAGAAAGAAGAAGAAGATAAAGATTGAGTCTTTGTTAGTACCTACTGGATCTCTAAGTTGGCAATGTAGTCTCCCTGAGAGTCCTGGGAAAAATGGGATCAATATGGGCTGAATGGTGGCTTTACAATGCTGATGGAGGAACATGTGCTTGGCAATGTCTAACCTGGATTCCTGTCTTGCTCTGATACTTAACTGCTATGTGACCCTGAGCAAGTCAAGGTCACATAATATTCCCACCTTGGTTTTCTCACCTATAAAATGTAGAAAACCACAACATCTGTGTGTGTGTATGTGTGCACACGTGCACAAGTGGTACCAGGGATGGAATTCATGGGTGCTCTACCACTAAGCTACATCTCTAAACCTTTTAACTTTTTTATTTTGGGTCTGGCTAAGTTGCAGAGGCTGGCATCAAACCTGCAATTCTGCACCATTGCTCCTCACAGAGAATCATAATATCTTATTGGGGTTGTTTTGAGAAGTGAGTGAGGTCAGGGCCTGAGAATTAATTATGTCTTATTAGTTATATCTGTTACTAGAAGGGAATGGTTAACAATCTCTGACTCACCAGTTTCAAGTGCTTGTTAATGGCAGAAGGTAGGTTCTATTAGGGAGAGGGGGGTGGAAATTAAAGGCAAAAGAGCTTGGATAAGAGTTTAGGCTGAGAGAAAGGAGAGAGCAACAGAAATGTAGGAGTTGAAAGGTGGGAGGATGGGGAGAGGAGCAACAGTCACTGTTCAGGATGAATTGGAAAGGAACATTCGAGGCTGATCATCATGGAGGTACTTGGTGGTAAATGGATGGAAATTCTGAAAATCATGTTAAGTGAAATAAGACAGACTCAGAAAATCAAAAGCTGAATGTTTTCTCTCATGTGTGGAAGGTAGAGGAAAATAAGGGAAAGAAGTGGCAGGAAAGGAGATTGAATATCGAAAAGATATAAGATCAGTAGAGTAGAAGAAGGAGAACAGGAGGGAGGAAAGAAGAGAAAGGGGTAGAAACATGGAATGAAATAAATAATATCTTGGTTCACACACATATAAATGCACCAAAATAAGTTTACACACACACACACACACATACACAAATATAAAATACCAATCAAAAATAAAGGAATAAAAGGAAGATCAAGGGCTGGGGATGTGGCTCAAGCGGTAGCGCGCTCCCCTGGCATGCGTGCGGCCCGGGTTCGACCCTCAGCACCACATACAAACAAAGATGTTGTGTCTGCCGAAAACTAAATAATAAATATTTAAAAATTCTCTCTCTCTCTCACTCTCTCTTAAAAAAAAAAGGAAGATCAATAGAAAAAAGGAGAGAGAACAGGGGGCATGAGGAGGGAAGGTAAAGCGGAGGGGAATAGGGATTGAAATCATATTCCTCACATGTATTATTTTGACAAAATGAACCCAAATACTATGTATAATTATAATGTCTAAAAATTTTTAAAAATAAAAATGAAAAATCTCTAAATTTATAATAAATGTTTACTATATCATATCAATTCATTAAACAAACATTTATGAAACTCCAGTATGTGCTAGGCACTTTAGTGAATAAAATCGGCAAAATCTGTACTGACATAGAATTTACTGGGGATAAAGAAAAGGAAAGAATCAACAAATATTTCTAGTCTTTAAGTCTTAAAGAATGGTAGGGTGCTACAAAGAGAAGGGTGATGTTTGAAAGTAGGATTTTTCTAGAGAAGGGTGAGGAGCTCAGACTTTAGGCATTTGAGGAGTCAGCAACATTGCCTCTGTTAATATCAGTTTTGAATGTAGATAGCATAGTTGCAAACAAACATATCCATTTTAGCCATTGTGACATAAAAAATCTAGAAAAGCAACAGTCTGTGGTGTGTTGTCTAAAACCTCTAGTAGTATATATGCTCCCTGGGATAGAAATAATTTTTTTGCAGCACTATTTGCCTGCGGCAACTGTTTGCATAGGACAAACGAATTTAATTAAAATGAATTGAGAGCTTTTTGATTCCTATGTTTTCCAGGTAACATTTTCATTAACTCAAGCAATATTTGTGCAAGTACCTTAGAAGTTATAAAATAAATGATTCTGTGGGAGAAAACATTTTGAACTGTTGACCTGAAATCCCTGGGTTTCACCTTTCTCAAGACCTAATTCAAGCAGCTCATCCTATGTTCATGCTGCCTTGAAAGAATGAGATTCTGTAAGCCAATGTTCAGCTGGTCCCCACCAGTATGGCCACACTGGTTGTTTATGGCTGGGAATTGTTTTATTGGTGGTTGTGTCTGGTCTGATTGGTCTGTTCTTGTGTCATGTTGGTTATTAGATATTTAGATCATCAATCATCATTGTGGCTGGAAGGTAGAGAGAACCTGAATTCTTATCAACCTGTTTCTAATTTCTTGAATTCTGATTTGGAAAGAAGAAAAAAGAAAGAGGATTAGAATGTAGGGAAAACACCAAAAATGAATAGTGAGCTTATGTGAGACTAGAAGAAGAGTCCCTAGCCTGGGAAGAAGAGATGAGAAGGGCAGTGGTATTTGGGGGTCCTGAGCCAAAGAATGCTGCTCTGCTTCCAGAATGCAGACTGAAAGGCGGTAAAGAGGCCTGGAAGAGAATGGCCACATGGTGTGTCTCAGTAGTTATGTCCATTGGTGGTGTTACAAAGACGCCTATATTTCTAGTTCCATACAGAAAGCAGCAGACTAACTAGCCTTAGAGAGCAATGTGAACAGCAGCGGGGCCTCAGGATTCTTGATCTTGAGCCAATGATCAAGAATCAGACCTACTTGTGCCCACCCAAACATCCTGGCACTATGTGAGACTCTAGAACCGAGCCACAACCAACTTTGTGTGGGGAATCATGGGGCAGAGCAAAAATGCCAGGAAGGACTGGGATTGAGTTTCCCATTAGTCCGGGAGGATGGACCTGAAGTAGAAATTAATTGATTCTGAAAATAAAGTGCTATTTATTGTGCATGTGAACTTAGGGTCTTGACTCATGCATGCAACTTCCTTTGCAATTTATAGCTGGGACTTTATTTGCTTCTTAGTTGAACTTAGATAGTATTTTTCCAAGAGGAAATTTAGACAAATAGAAATAACCACTAGGAGACAATTTGGGTCACTTTCATAATAATCCTTTAAGTAATAATACATATCTTTTTGGTATGCTTAAACATAGCACAAGCAGTAATGGACAATCTAGAGTTAGAGAAGTTCAATCCAAGAAAGAAGGAAACTCTGAGAATTAGAAATTTACTGCAAGCAATACAGTGGCCAGTGACCTAATTAACTTCTGATTTGTAGCATGAAATCTTTCCTCACCTTTCCATCTATTTGTCTCTTCTTGCACCATTTCCTTCCACACCCACATATTGCCCTATCCTGAGTATAAAAGTATGATTAAAACAACTGCAATTTCACAGATGGCTCTAATTTAGAATATGATTTACTTCTGTCGGAATCCAAGTTTATGTGGCTTCTGAGGATGCCCATCAAAGAATCAAATTTTATTTTGGAGATGGATATGCAAAAAACTTGGAAAGGTATGGAAACTCACTCTTGAACGTCCCTGGACACAATTCAGAGGCTGATGGAGGAAAGGGCTGAATCTTCGTGTTTAGGCGATTATTGCAGTTTGGCAATGAGAAGTTGGGGAAATTGGCTTCAGGAAGAGGAAGAACTTCATTTATGTTTAGTGGAGGGAGTCGAACAATGGATCCAATTTGTCTCGGATGGAAAGGAAAGTGTCCTTTACCTGGGCCTCTTTTTCCTGGGTGCCTATGTGGTGGGCCATGGCCACGGTGATGGTGATCTGGGGGACCTTGGCCAAGGGAAGGTGGATCACAGGGTCCATAGTCATCGAAATCACGGCCACGGGGACCATGTCCATGGGGACCATGTCCATGGGGTCCATGTCCATTGGGACCGTGTCCATGAGGCCCATGTCCATGGGGTCCATGTCCATGAGGACCATGTCCATGAGGCCCTTGTCCATGGGGTCCATGTCCATGAGAACCGTTTCCATGAGGACCATGTCCATGGGGTCCATGTCCATGAGGACCGTGTCCATGAGGCCCATGTCCATGGGGTCCATGTCCATGAGGACCGTGTCCATGAGGCCCATGTCCATGGGGTCCCTGTCCATGAGGACCATGTCCATGAGGCCCATGTCCATGGGGTCCCTGTCCATGAGAACCGTTTCCATGAGGACCATGTCCATGGGGTCCATGTCCATGAGGACCGTGTCCATGAGGCCCTTGTCCATGGGGTCCATGTCCATGAGGACCATGTCCATGAGGCCCATGTCCATGGGGTCCCTGTCCATGAGGACCGTGCCCATGGGGATCATGTTTATGGGGCCCATGGCCATGGGGACCGTGTTCGTGGGAATGGGGTCCATGGTGATGCTGATCACTGAAACTATGATTATAAGGGTGTCTTTGGGTCTCATTGGTGCCAAAAAGAGGGTGATGACATCTTGATCCTGGAGGTGGCAAAAATGGTGGAAAATCTCCTTCTCGAAGTGGTGGTCTGTCAGAGTTATCTTTTCCTTCTGGGAGAGGTCGGAATCCGAATTTATGTGGCTTCTGAGGATGATGATGAGAATGTCCATGCCCATCAAAGTGGTGGGGAGGGCCCCAATGGGGTCTTACATCACTGATGTTTCTATGTTCCTGGTAAAAGTACAGAAAAGTGTGTGTTATCATGTAACGCAAAAGGAGAAATTTGATGTTTAGCTTGACTTAGGGCAATGGCTTCCAAACTTTTGGACTTCACAAATCAATTTAAAAAGTCAGATACTAAAAAAGGGTGTCCAATTTTTATCTAGCCAAATCAACATTTAAAATGCAAACAAAAACTGCCCACTAACACCATTATTATTTCACAAAAGGAATGATATCTTGACAACAAGAGTCAGAAAATAACCATAGAGTAAAGAATAATTTTTGGATGGAATATATGTTGTATTATGAAAAATTTTTAAATTATACATAAGCTTTCTTACTTTAACATATATTGGTGAAACTACATTAAGGAATGGCACCCATTTGTAGACCAGCCTTTGGAAAACTAGTGTCTTAAAACTTAGACTCTCAACAGAGTTCTGAGACTTGATATAAAATCCTTACTCCTACAGGATGGACACCTGCCTCTTTACTTTCCTCCTCATCCAGACTTTAACTTTCTAAAAAGTCTATGGAGCTGTATTCTTGGTGACAAACCTACCTTTCTTTTTTCCTCTTCTTCCTTCTTTTCTTTTTAATTTTTATTTATTTATTTTTGCTAATATAAAAATTACTATGAAGAACATCTTTGTGCTCACTCAGAAAAAGCATAAAGGTTTCTGGGATGGTTATAAAATATCATTTTTAATCTTATAAACCTTTACATGATAAATTTGAGACCAATTAATTCCTCTTAGGTTCAACATCTAATAATAAAAGCTAAGAATTATGAAGTCTCAGCACTGGAAGTTCTAACTATAAGGACGATTTTCAAATTCACTTAAGGTTGATTGAATTGGTCATTGTACTTTTCTGCCAAATCTTGCCCTTGCCCTATACTTGAGAAAAAATTTATACTTTTTTGGTGTCATGCCAAAAATTTTACTCCCTTTCCTAGGGGCCTATTCTATTCTCTCCAAATCTCTCTCTCTCTCTCTCTCTCTCTCTCTCTCTCTCTCTCTCTCTCTCACACACACACACACACACACACACACAACTCTAAGAACCAATTACACTGTGTGTGTGAAAATATTTAATCTGGCACTGTTCATAACAAAGTGTACTCTGACAACCCACCTCAAAGTTAAAGACTTCACAAATTACTTCAAGGTCTTCTGGGGCTTCCAAGTCAGAGGCTTCTATATTATAGGACAAATCTGCTCTGCAGAATCCAAAAACCTACAAAAGAGAAAAAAGTCTGTAGTGGGTGTGTGTGTCTTCAAGGGGTATGAGGGTTCCCACCCAGACTTATGAACTGGAAAGGAAGAAGAGCTTTAGAAAAATCAGGGTAATGATATTATCAGACATCTCCACCAGTTACTTAGCAATCTTTCCCAGTCAACCCTTGGGGAAGGTACAGGTTGCAAAGGATTTCATTGCAACTTCTCTCCCGTGAGCAGTCACAAGCACTGGGGGCTTCCCCATGTGTGTGGCGATTGCTCATGTCATTACTGCTTTTCCTTTAGGCCAACACTTCTGCCCTGAAGATCTGAGTTGTCAGTGCCTAGAGAAAATGAGGAATGGTTTAGAAGATAAATTTGAATGACTTTAACTGGTCCCTTGAAAGTGTTAGAAAGGAGGGAGCCAGTATAAAGACAGGTTTGCAAGGACCCTGTCAAGGTAAAGAGTCTGCTGGCCCCATCCTAAGTATGAGGGCTGAACTGACTAGCCCGATGCTCCAAAGTCACCTAAGCTCAGCCATCAAAGCTAGACAAACAAGTTGACAATTCTTCTCTAGAAAACAAACAAACAAACAAAAACTAAGCTATTAAGTATTGAGGCTCTGAGTATGGTTTTGGAGTGAGGTCTGTGCTAATCCTGGCTTCACCATTTTCTACTTGTGTGAGTCTCAGGTTACACACATTTTCTGAAATTCAGACTGTAAACAAGTACAATGCTATCTACTCACATGGTGAGAGGATTTAGAAAATCAGGGTAATATTATCACCAACTTCTAATTACCAACTCTCTTGGATCTGCACTGGTCTTTTATTACCCACACAATGATAGCTGAGTTTGTTGGATAGAGGAGGGAAGCATTTTTTTTTTCTAGCCACTGAGCAGGAATCTAAAATTAATTCAGGTCAAAATTTTGAGCAGTCATAAAAGGAAATAACAAATGCTTCCTCTCTTCAGCCAGAGAGAGAATGTGTTACTAAACCTCAGCAAAATCCTGAACTTGAAATTAGAATTAAAGTCTTGTGTGCACTTTCTAGCCAAGTGCCTTAGGTAAGTGATTGAAATTCTAGGCCCACTTGCCCCAAAGAAATGGAGGCAGGCATTTGCTTCTCCTCAGTAGGTTATCACAAAGTTCCCACAAGACAATGATATATGCAGGGGTGTTTTATAAACTGTGAGTCACCAAGCAAATGTCAGGTATCATTAATAAGATTCTCTAGTAGATATCAGATTAATTTGTAAATAATTAGGAAAAAATCCTACTGGACTGAGCATGAGAAGAACTGGACTATAGTCTCAGCTGGGTTGTGAACATTGGCAAGACCCCCCCTTTGTTGAACCTGTTACCTCCTTACTTGTCAAATGCAATCCCTGTGGGTGTCGATGCATTGGAATGAGTGAAAGCACATCGTAGGGGGGTCTTAATACAAGCTGGTTATTAGTTTTAGTTAAACTTTTAATTTTAACATGTTAAAAACCTGTTTTAGGTTTAGTTATATATCATGTATATTATAAAGGCATTTTCTCATGATTTGTTTAACTTTTCCATGCCTCTGTTTCCCCATCTACAAATCAGGGACAAAGAGTTTCTACCCCATAGGGTGGTGTGTTAATAAGTTAATGTATAAAGCACTTAGAAGAGTGCCTGTCAGGGAGCAAGAACTCTCTAGATGACACTTAGCATTTCACAGACATTTGTTATACTCACTCACTTTAGGGGGTCTGGGGAAATGTTGTGTGGAGCAGTTCCTCACAGAGAAGTCCAGATAGTATTTGGTTCTTTCCCCTCCTCTCTAGAACAGATAGGAACAACATAGTTTCAGGAAAAGAAAAAGTAGAAAAAGAGAACAGTAACTATCCAATGTATTGTAAAACACTAGAATGCTTAAATCACCAATAAGTGATATTTTTCTTATGGGCTTTTTTTTTTGTTTCTAACTAATCTTTAATTATTTTGGTTATACATTTTTATTAGTTGTTCAAGACAATACAATGATCTTGACATATCATACATTTGATTCAAATAGGGTATGAATTCTCTTGCAGGGAAATGGATGGCACTAGAGCAAATTATGCTAAGTGAAGTTAGCCAATCCCTAAAAAACAAATGCTGAATGTCTTCGCTGATATAAGGGAGGTGACTCAAAACAGAGTAGGAAGGAAGAGCATGAGAAGAAGATTACCACAAAATAAGGAAAAGAGGAGGGAGGGAAAGGGAGGGAGAAGGGGAAATGCACGGAGGACGGAAGGAGACCCTCATGGGTTCACAAAATACATATATGATTTCTTATGGTTTTTGCCTTTTAAAAATGTATCACAAAACCTGGGCAAAGTGGTGCATGCTTGTAACCCCAGTTGCTCAGAAGACTAAGGCAGGAGGCTCACCAAGTTTAAGGCCAGCCTGGGCCACTTAGTGAAGCCCTATCTCAAAATAAAATAAATTTAACAAGGTTTGGGGATGTAGCTCAGTGGTTTTGCCTACACTCACCAGGCTCTGGGTTTCATCCATAGCACAGGGGGGAAAAAGTATCACATAAGTGATAGAGTGAACACAATTTCACTGTAAGGGTTCAAATATGCAGACATGATAAGCATGGTGTGAAAAATCACTCTTGCTGCACCCTAGCCTCTCCTTCTCAGAGTGAGCACCACGGTCTACTTGATGTATTTCTCCTTCTAGCCTTTTGCCACATATCCATGGCGACCTAAGTATTTAACTTCAGTGGGTTCATATGCTGAGTATTGCTCTGTAACCTGCTTGTCTTAGTAATATGTCTTGAACTCTTTCCAGTGCCTCTGGGTCCAACACATTATTTTTGGAAATTGTATTAAATGCATTCCATTGTTGGTATGTACCGTGATCCATTTAATTTTACATTTTTGAAATATACAGCAAATATCAACCAGCTGCTCCTCAAGACAACTCTGGTTGGAAGGCACTTGAGTCCTTGGACTGTGAGGCAGGTAACTATCTAGTTCTCTAGACACACCAAATGTCATGAGATTATTTCCCGAAGCCTCATAATATAACCATATAAGCACAGATAAAAAATTTTGTTTTCAAAAACTGAGAGGTTAACACACCAAGACATCTTAGTGCTTTTTCCTTCAGAAATGTTTGGGATAGGGTCATAATCCATTTAAACAGTTTCTACCATAATATAAGAAAATTAAAATTCAATGATTGAATAATTCACTTAACCCTAATATGCTCTTGTCCTTCCCTCTTTCCTTTTTGGATTTTCCCTTCTCTCTTTCAGATGTCTACCCTCCCTTTCTGCCTCTCCAAACAAATAAAACCCTTGCAGAAGAGCAGTTCTTTGTTATCCACTATCTATTATAGCCAAAAGGCTGCCACAGTTTCAAAGGCAGCTGATCACTTGGGGCAAGTGGAGAGGGTTGTCAACAGTTCTTGCCTGCCAGGTTGATGCCTGGGTCCTCACACTCTAGCTAGACATTAGTGGTGACTCACCCCTCTCGCAACTCTCTCTACTCGGTCCACTCTGAAAGAGGCAAAATCACTGTTCTCGCTTTTGTACTTGTCAAGGGCTTTGTCAGCTTCTTTTCTGTACTGCTCCGTGTCCTCAAAGAAATCCAGGATTACAGGACTGTCTTTGTTATTGCTCAGTGCTGAAGACACTAAAGAAAGAAGACGATGGCAATATTGTAATTACAAGTGGGAAATAGGATGCCAATGTTTAGACTCCATGTGGTACATAAAAGCATGGTGGTAAGAGTAACAGGAACTTGCATCTAAAACATGGGCAAATCCAGGGTTGGAGAAACTAAGTAGCTTGTTGATCAATCAGCCAGTCAGCAGTTGAGCTAAACCATTAGTCTTTCTTTCCATTTGTTCTAACACTCAGGTTCCTATTGTGACCACTGTTCTGATGCCCTAGCATTCATAAAATGCAAATATTTTAATAAATTCTTCCTGTCTTTGCCAAGGAGGAAAGAGGCCTCCTTAACATAAAGTTTGGTCCAGAGAGAGAAGATATAGCTCAATCTTTCTTTAAGGCAACCTCCTGTAGAAGTTGCTCCACTGTGGCCTATATTGAACCAGGTTGAGATTTAGCATGTTTAAAGGCATTCTGTGATAATTCTTTTTGAAAAAGCAAATATAAAAAGCATGGACTTTAGAGTCACCATGGTTGTTGATACAGTCATGCCTTCATCACATCGTGACCATGTGCCCAAGGCCATGTCATTGAACTTCTGCCTAAATTATTTTATCTCTAAAATAGAAAGCAACACAATCTTTATTTCATAGCCTTGGGTGAGGGTGAATGATATTATTTATAAACAATCACTTTGTAAACTATAGAGTAATATATAACTTTTAAATATGAAGCCAATACTTATGAGTGGTAAATGTTCCACAAAGCATATTATATAGACCATTTTATTTGATTCTAACAAGAATCCTAACAGCTACTACTACTATTATCTCTATTTTAAAATGAGAAAAATCTTAGATTAAATAACTTGGCCTCAAAACCACAGAACTAGTAAATTATGAGACTGGGATTCTAACACAAGCAAGTCTGACCCCAGAGCCTATGTCTACACAATGTTGCTATATGGCACTTTGGAAAGCTCTATTTTCTTGTATTGATTTTTTTTTTTTAAAGGAAGATGTATCAGTAACAGGGGAAAACTGTCCTCCTTCTATTCTCAGTAGAATGAATAATAATGAAGACCATGAGAACAGGGATCCTTTCTGATGTACATCATGGTATTAATATGATAAATACCACTCTATGACTGAGTTCTGTATTAATCGGGAATTTATTTAGCAATTTAACAGATTAACATACCAGAACTGGTGGTGCAGTTAAAGTCATTCATTCGGAGGTCCTGAGATTCATTTGAATATCTTGTAACTATTACCTTACATTGCCCAATCACCTGTAAAAAGAAAAGAGTTTTGGGCTGGGATTGCAGATCAGTGGTAGAGGGCTCACCTAGCATGCATGAGGCACTGGGTTCAATCCTCAGCACCACATAAAAAATAAAATAAAGATATTGTGTCCATCTAAATCTAAAAAATAAATATTGAAAAAAAGTGGCTTTTGACTCATTGCATACCATCCTCCTTTATGAGGGAATATGAAGGGAATGCCACATACTCCTGCTATCCATTTAAACTGTATTTGTACACACACAAAAGCCCTGGCTTCTATCCTCAGCACCACACACTCAGAAAATTGTATTTGGGGTTTCCTTCATCAAAGCCTGTCTCAAACCCTGCAATTTCTTACCTTGCTCCTGTGTGCTGCATACTATCAGAACCCAAAACCCTTAGGAGAATGAAGGAAAAACTGTTTAAATGGATTATGACCCTATCTCAAACATTTCTGAAGGAAAAAGCACTAATGCGTAAACCTCTCATTTTTTGGAAATGAAAGTTTTATCTGTGCTTATTCATTTTTGTGTTTTACACCTGTGACAGAGATTCTGGCATGTCAGTACCCACCTCCAATGTGCACAGCAAGAACCCCTTCCTCAATGTAACTAAGCCCTTTGGCCATTCCTGGTAATGAGACCAATTTTGATGGGATACACTTACAAGTTCATAGCTTCATTGTGAGGCTTGGAAAGGATTTTGAGTCTATCTATTTCAGGACTCTCCTCTTATTTTTACAGTTGAAGAGACTGAAGTCTAGGAATGTTAGGTGATTTTTTCCTAGGGACTCACAGCTGATCATACTATCCCAAGGAATCACAAGCCTTGTTGAGTTATCTTTCCCTGGGTTCCCATGAAGGGCTCTTCACAGGGTGTCACTCAAGGTAAACACAATCTTCATGAGTCTCAAGGCATAAACTGCTCTTACTCTTTTCCAGGTTAGACCAAACATATGGTTTCCCTGTGTAAGCTGATAGGAGGTAAGAAGGATTAAGAGGAGAATGGTACCCTGTATACTTACTATATCAGACGGCCTTCTAAAATGAGCTGGTATACAGTCTTCCTGGTTCCTGGACAGGACCCAACAGTCAGATTCTTTTACATCCAAGACTAAATAATAGACAGTCGCAGATCCCTGAAGAATGCCAAGAAAGCAACAGGTGAGTAGGATGAGGGAGCTCAGGAGGTTTTTAAAATAAAAACAATCTCTTTGTTTCTTAAACAGAATTCCTGCTTATCTCCGAGTCTTTGCAGATGTCCTACCTCTGTGTCATTTGATCTATTTATTTGGATAAATGGCTTCAAATAGTTATTTCCAAGTGTTCTTTTTAACTCATTATAAGGTTTCTTCTGCCCCCAAACTTTAAAAAGTCATCACTGTAGGGCAATGTTGGGTGGGTGGAGGTGTTGACAATACAAGCCTAGAATGGTAAGTGGAGATCGCCATATCACCATGTGCAATCTGCTGTGGTGGTGGTGTCCTCTCACCCAGCTCTCTTCCTGAATCTGGACTTCTGACCTTAATTTCAACTTAAACTCACTTCTCTTACAGATCTACTTCCTCTCTCAACTTCCCTGGTCTTTGTCAGAAGCTATTAATTACTTAACTGCTGTAGGCTCTAGTTTAGAAAATGTGTATGGGCTTTGCTTTACTTTGGCTACACAGAAATCAAGCCATTAATGGTCTTTCTTTGAAACGTTCTCATGTGTATTTTTCATTTTCTTGCTTCAATTCCAGCTACCTGGGTCTGACCATCATTTCTTCATTCCTGAACACATGAAATAGCTTCCTACTTCATGTTCCAGTCACTTTCTTACATCTCTCCAGGCACATTGTGTTCTCCTTTTCACCCCACTGCCACAAATCCATACTGCCACTCAGAGGTAGCACCATGCCCATTCATTCTGTGCCCCACACATGTGGCAAAGACCCTAAAATGGAACTGATGATCATTAAATTACTTGCTGATCATGAATTGCTTGTTGTTGATGATCAGTACATTGGTAAACTCCTGGATTTCTATTCTCTGCATTCTTCAGCACTTTCCTAACACCTTAAAAAGGGTATATTACTCTGCTCATCCTCTGTAGTAGTCCATAGTGACCTGACTCTCTGATTTCAGTCACTCCACCAAAGAGAAGATAGGTTATTATATTTTGCAAGGACAACTTCATCAGCCTTCCATAATCTCTATCAACCCATCAAATCCATTTCAAATCAGCATATAATCTAAGTGAAGTCTTGTTTAAACGTCTTCAAGATAAGCTCAGTCTCTCTTCCAACTTCACATTCAATTCTGGCCTCTCCAGAGCCCGTGCAGTTCTGGATCACACCCCTTACCCCGCCCAGCCTATTCAATTACTCCCTAGGGCCTCCTTTTTTGATTCCCTGCCCACCTTGATGTACCTAGAATTCTCTTGAAATGCCTTTCTCCAGGCCTCTTCCTATTCACATCCTACCCATTCTTCAGATTCAACTGAAGTCTTCTCCCACCCAATCTTAATAGCTCTCCTTTCACTGAAAGTGCTCCAAATCAGCACTTGATCACTGAATACATTCTTTGTTACCCAGTTTGCCTTGGCGCATCAGAAGATTGTTCTTTCCTCAAGGGCAATTCCTGCTAGTTAATTCTGATTTTTCTCTCGAAGCCATTTGCATAGTGCTTCTAAGTGCTTACAGATTGATCCCTAGTTAATCTATTCCAATAATAATCGTGGAGTTGGAAGGAAAAATAAACAATCTAGAGCAGCCACAGAAACTAAACAGAAGACCCTGACTGAAGCCATTTGTTGTGCTGAGGAGCTAGAATCTCATTTGCCCTGGAGCATGGTCTCCCAGCTCAGATCTGACATGGACGATTTCTCACCACTGTGTCCAAGTGGGCATCAGCGACCCGCAGCAACTGGAAAAGATAGCCATTCCGTCGCCATTTATTGATAAGGTCTACAGCTTTCTCAGCCTCAGGCTCAACAGCATTGCAGTCGGTGGGACTCACAGCGCATGAACATTGCAGTGAGATCAAAAGTAGTAGGGCAGTGAGCACCTTCATTTTGCTACACTCCCCCTGCTGTGGTCTACCATAGCAGAGAATTTATACACACACAATTGATGAAACTTTATACATTTTTGTTGTGCAACTAGGAATGTTCACCTTGACCCCTGGTTCAAATATCTGTCAACAATCTGTAAATGATTAGTGGATCCTGGGGACAGAAAGCTGAGACATGCCACTGGTGATCTGGTAAAACCATTATCTACACAAATCTGGATTTTTTTTAATTGTACATAATTACAGCACAACTTTTCATTTCTCTGTACATGATATAGTATAGCACCATATGTGCAGTCATATATGTACCTAGAGTAATAATGTCCACTCATTCCACCTTCATTCCTGCCCCCCTGTCTCCTCCCCTTCCCAAATCTAGATATTTTTAGTAGGTTGCAGATCCAAAGTCTATTTTTGACCTTAAGCACTGCCAATGTGTGTGCCCAGTGGTGAGGTTTGTGCTAAGGTAATTTTCCTCCATCAGCCTGTCAGTCTCAGCCAGAAATCTCCACCATCAGCTCCTCTTTGAATTATGGCACTAAAGTTCAGTAGAATGCAATCAGTAGATTTTTTTTTTTAGTTGTCAATGGATCTTTAATTAATTAATTCACTAATTTATATCCAGGGCCGAGAATGGAACTCAGTGCCTCCCACATGCTAAGCAAGTGCTCTACCACTAGAATTCTTTAAAAAGAATCCTTGGTAACATGTTTAGTAGTTAACATTATACAAGGAATTGACTTCAAATAGAATAGCATGATTAATGGACAGTGGCCTTGGAGTCAGATGTAAATTTCTAACCCTAGCTCTGTCACTTTCTTATTGTGTGATACTGTGTAAACTCCCAAACTCCTCTGATTTTTAGTTTCCTTCACTTATAAAATGAGGATTAATACTTCTTTGTAGGCTTATGTGATAGTTAAATAAGAAAGCACATATAAAAGAACTAATACGAATCTTGGCACAGACTAGGTGCTAAATAAATGATGCTATGTGTTATTATTAATGCTGTTTATTAGGGTACCTGGGAAGAAGTGGGGAGCATTCCTATATCATCCCAATTCTCTGTGGCTTTTAAAGCATGCAAAACAGAACTGGTTCATGTGCAAGAGGAGAGGGGTGAGAGCAGGAGTCAAGCAATTGAATACCTGTCCCATAGTGGGGAGGGCTCAGCATTGGAAGACAGGGCTGGGATACACCTGACCCCCTGCCACTAACCCTCCAAAGAAACCTATATACCTATGTGGAACATTCATACCTGCAGAGGCCAGCAGCTTCTGAAAAGACTAAAGGGAATCAACTTCACTTCCCTCCCCACTGCCAAAAACAATCAGAAGACAGCATCTCTCTTCTTCCCTGTACTTTTTCTACAGTAAGGTTCTACAGCAATAGTTCTCAATCTTGATTTCATATTAGAAATGCCCAAGGAGTTTAAAAAGAATCCTGGGATCAGGACCCTTCAAAACAATTCAATCAGAATGGATCTGGGTTTGGATAGTTTTTAGATTCCCAAGTAATTCCAGTGTGCAGTCAAAATTGAGAATAAATGAGCATCCAGATAGAACTGAATCAAGTGAAAGAATTAGAAGAAAGAAAAGGGAGGAGTTATACGAAAAATAGACTTCACTTCCAAGGGTAACAGGTTGGTTTAGTGAGTGCTAAAGTGGAAGAAACATGTTTAGGATAATGTTCGAGACTGAACTTTTAGTGTGAACAACAACTGGCTTTTAAACAACTGAATGGGACCACTATAGTATAACTCAGAAGGATAGAAATAGTATGGAATCTGCTGTAGGTATCTTTAAGGGCCCCAACTCAGTGGGGCAGGGTATAACTACTGATTAAAACAAAAACAGTTTTATGTTCTAATGAGTTGAGCTCCTTAATCAAGTCTTTCATCCAATATGGAGTACCTGGGCAAATCAGATGCTGGAGTAAATTAAGGGATGGGAATGCTGGGACTGGGAAAAAGGGAGGACAATTTATGCTTTCCCTACAGTACTGTTTTGCTGAGATTTGGGGGTACTTGCAGGACCCAGGCATTCCCTTCCCCTGGCTTTATTGAATTTTTAAGACATACAGTGCTAACGATGCCTTTCCAGTAACCAGGGAAGCTTCAGGTTGAGGTGTCTCAGGGAGCACAAAATTAAAGGTAAGTATATGTTCAGTTCTGAGAACTGTCAAATGCTCTAGGCATTGACATTAGCTTTGGGAAAGCTTCCCAGATGGTCTAGAACCAGAGAATGGCCTTAGATGTGATAGAGGAAGAGGAGTGGTGGTGACTTCACAGGATGGCTTTTGGGGCAGACTGAAGTACACAGATCTTCACCTCCATGGTCTCGTTCTGGCATTCAGGTACTTTCTAGGTGTTTTAACCATGTTTTCAGGAAAAGTCAGCTAACAGAACTTTCATTCTTTTAAGATTTTTTTTGCTCATAATAGAATACACATTCTTTGCAAAAAATGAAGCATGAAAAGTACAAAAAGTATAAAGAAAATTCATCTCAAATTCCACTACCCATGAGAAAAATCAACTATAATATAATTTCTTTATAGAATGTTTTCTATTTGGATATACACAACACAGATTTTTTTATGTTGTTGTAATTACTCTGTACATACAGATTTTTTTCCTTCACTATTGTTGAGTATTTATTTACTTATAACTTATTTTTTCAGGTATTAGTAGAAACTATATAACATTTTAAAGTATTGTTTCGGGTATTTTATAGGATTTTAAATATTTGGGTTATTCTAATCATATAATTTTTAATTTTAAACATAAACCTCACATAAAATAAAACAAACAATATTATTAAATAAAATTAAGTCTCTCTCCCTTCCATTTCATACAATCCCTTCCCTAGGGAAAGACTTTAAACAATTTCCTGTAATATGTAGCTTAAATATTATCTTTTCCTTTAAGGTTACACTGTGAGGACTTGTCAAGATCATTAAATATTCTTCAGGAAAATTATTTTCAGAGATCATGGTATATTGCAAGTTATATAAATATTAATATATTCAACATTCCTCACTTTTGGTCATTTATGTTGTTTCTATTTATTTGTTTTTATAAATAGTGCTACAGTAAATATCCTTGTACATCTCTGATTATTTCTTTGAGAATCACTGGATCAGTTAATATAATTTTTTAGCATCAGGGTTTTTATTTTTATTTTTTTGGTAATAGGAATCACTTCTTTTAAGAAAAAAGAAGTCAATTTTGGTCAGACGTTTAATGTATTATTTTGTTACTTTACTTTCAAAAAATAGACATATTTTTTAAAGCAGGTTTAGGTTTGCAGCAAAATTAGGTGGAAAGTACAGCGAGTTCCTAAGTACTCTTTACTTTCTCGTCCCATGCTCACAAACTCCCCGCCCCATGATAAACATCTGAACCCAGAAGGTCACATTTGTTCCCGCCAAAGAACTTACAATGACACATCATTTTCACCGGAAGTCCATAGTTTGCATTAGGGTTTCCTCTTCACTCAGTAGGGTACCTAGCATGGGTTTTGACAAATGTGCAATGTTTGCATCCACCATTATAGTATCATTCGGAATAATTTATCTGCCTTAAAAATCCTCTGTGCTCCATTATTAATTTATCCCTCTCTCCTCTCTCCCCTCTAGCCTCTGGCAACTACTGATATTTTTCACTGTCATCACAATTCTGTCTTTTCCAGAGTGTTGTATAGTTGGAATCAAACAGTTGGCAGTCTTTTCAGATTGATTTCTTTCACTTAGTAATAAGCACTTAAATTTCCTCCATGTCTTTTCATGACTTGATTGTTCATATTTTTTAGTGACAAGTAATATTCCATTTTCTGGATGTTCCACATTGTATTTATTTATTCTCCTACTAAAGGTCATTTTGGTTCCCTCTAAGTATTGGCAATGATGAGTAGATCTGCTATAAACATCCATGTATGGGTTTTTGTGGATGTAAATTTTTAACTCATAAGGAGTGTGATTACTGATCACATGGTAAGAACATGTTTAGTTTTTTTTATTTTTAGAAATTGCCAAACTATTTTCCAAATTGGCTGTACAAATTTGCATTTCCACCAGCAGTAACTAAAAGTTCCTGTTGCTTCACATCCTCGGCAGCATTTGATGTTATTGTCAATGGACTTAAACTTGTGACCTTCCTGCTTCAGCCTCCCAGTTAGCTGAGATTACAAACATGTGTCCCCCTACCTGGCTAAGAAGTTACTTTTAAAGATGCATCAGCATTGAGTCTTAATTCCACATAACTAGAAATGTTCAACACCAGACGTTTCTGCATAGGAGACTGGTGTTTCAACAGAGACGATTTGAAACCACTGATTATTTGAATACAAAGCCTCAAATGAATAATGTCTACAGCATTTAGAAACTATTAGCTGGCATTTGGATTATCTAGCTTGCATGGAGTTTGCAGGGTAAGAAAAGAAGGTCAAGAATAAAAAACTAGAGAAACAGCAAGAAGCAAGCCAGAGAAGAACCCAAGTCAGGACCTGAGGAGAATGATGGACCCAGGTTCCCCAGCTTACTGGTTTACCATGGGGTTCAAGGAGCCAAAGGGAAGACAAGATTGAAAGAAGAGAGGGAGGCAGGGAGAGGGCACCATGTTGATGCCATGCTCCTTCCCACACATCAGCAGCGAGTTCAGCAATGGCTGCATCACCACCAGGGTAGCTCCTGCCAGGTGGCCCCTCTTCCACAGCTCCAGTTTGTGCTGGGCTTCTTGTCCTCCTGCCTTCCTTGCAGTCGCTATTTCTCCGTGCCTCAGCCTCCCCTGTCCTTCCCTGACCTGGCCCACAAGCGTTCATTAAACGTTCCTTCACTGATGGATCTTCAGTTGAGCTGTTTGATGACCATTCTGCCTCTTTCCAGACCCTGACTGAACCCACATGACATTCGCTCCCCAACTTTTTAACTTATTATGGGTAATAGGTAAGAGTAATGGGGTGTGAGTTTTATCTACTTCTTTTACATAAATTAGGCCAAGGACTGTGCATCACTTCTAAGAAATGGCCACCAAATGGAGGGCAATCATTAT